AAAGGTAATCTTTTTGGTCCACTTGTGAGTTTTCCTGGTAAAATGGTAATATTTAACCATTTGATCGAAGTGGTCCACACCTTTCATGAACTTATTGTACTCGCAAATTGCAGTCGGTTTGTTCACTGTTACCTGTTGTATTCCACTTGTTCCGTCTCGGTTGCGAATTCGCTTCCTTCGCTGAACTCGCTGAGTGTCTGCATTGTGGATGTTGGTAATGATTGAAACCACTCGCTTGTCTTTCCACAGGAGAATGAAGGTATTATCTTTGCGGCGGTATACTGTGGTATCCAGTGGAAGTTTACCCTTGGCTAGAGCTTGCAATACCTTTGGGGCGCCACGTAGCATTCTAATTGTGCCACATGTGTACACCCCAAGTTCTCTCAATGTTTCTGTTAGGGTAACCGAGTTGTAGTAATTATCCATGTACAAATGGTAACCCTGGTTCACTAAAGGCTGCATCAACCCCGTTACTGTATCCACTATCGTCTTACCAATACCTGAGTATACGTCAAAGTCATATATGTACCCAGAGACAGATTCAGCAAGCATATAAATTTTCACACCATACTTGTCTGGTTTGTTTGGATTGTACACTTTGAAGGATAGTCGGCCTCGCCATGCCATTGTACCCTCATCCAAACACAACTCTTTCTTGGGAATGTAAACTTGAGCAAACCTCTCTTTCAAGTAATCCATCACTGGTCTCACTTTTATCAACTTATCACGATTGTTCGCGGGCACTGCATTGGTATTGAATGTGTGGAAAAACTGGTTTATATGCTGGAATCGTCTGGACGGCATGAACAAGCTGAAGAAACGAGCATGCCATGGCTTTGCTGTTTGCCAATACATCCTCATAGTTGGGAGCCTAATTATGCCCATCAATATGAACAGTCCTAGGAATCGCACCATTTCACTCACCTTCACTGGGGTCCAAATATCTGATACATTTTCATTGGCCATCCGGAATAACTGTGAGGCGTACAAATTTGTTTCAACGGTAAAGAACTCAAGGAGGGCACGCGTGATGAACAATTGAATATAAGCCAGTGCACTAGTAGGCTTGGGAATTTTCAGTCCAGGATTTCCAGTAAAATCATCAACAACTGGAGAAGTATTGCTACGACTCCAGCCCTCACCAGCCCCAGCCTACCGAGTACGTACTGTACGTGTACGCCTTTCAGCAGGCTCGAATGAATCCTCATCACTTTCCTCATCACTTATACTTTCAGAATCACTTGGCGCAATTTGTCGTGTTCCTACGACGAGTAACATGTCTGGTAGCTACTTTTCTAGGTAGCCTAGATGCACCACGTGTGCACCGAGATGGAGGAGGGGGGGGTCGCGGTGCCTCCTCTTCCTCGGTGAGGGCCTCAGTCTCCTCACTCGTTGCCATATCATTCCCTCTAGCTCTAGGTACACTATAATCGTTGTGGGTTCCAAAATCTTCCTCCAATACCTCTACATCACCTTCAGCTTCTGATAAATCCTCCACAAGGCCTGGAATTTTCGTTGGTGTGAGCTTCACTCCGCTCCACTTCTTAAAAATTTGGGTTTTGTCCACTCTCGATGACCTGGAGGCTTCCTTGGGCGTAGAAGTGCTTGGGCCTTGACTTTGATCCATTTTTGATGAAGTAATTGGGTATAATCCACACGGAAACGGGTAAAAATGCTCGAGTTTGGCGCGCGAGGGGAGCGTGATCGACTCACGACACGTGACACGAAAACAATGGGCCCGTCACGTGACCGGGTAGGCCGACGCGCCAGGCGGCCTAGTGGTGAGAAAGAGAACTTCATGGCGCGTCGTTTGAAACAAACCCCAATGAAATCGGATTAAAATTGAATTTTATACAAATATTTTAAAAGAAGACATAACTTTATGTCCACTATGCGTTTACGTTAGACGAAACCGGTCGCGCCGGCGCGTCCAGATAGCGCGAAAGTGTATTGCTTTATTTATTTGTGTAATTATTGCAAGTAAATACACAAATAAGTAAACAGTAATGTTTGACCTGCTGATACGATACTACAAAGATGTAAAGTACTCCAAATGTACTCACTAGAAAGAAGACGAGAGAGATATCAAATAATATACACCTGAAAGATACTGGAGGGCCAAGTACCAAATCTACACAGTAAAATAACAACGTACTGGAGTGAACGATATGGAAGAAAATGCAGAATAGAACCAGTGAAGAGCAGGGGTGCCATAGACACAATCAGAGAACACTGTATAAACATCAGAGGTCCCCGGTTGTTCAACACCCTCCCAGCAAGCATTAGAAATATTGCCGGAACAACCGTGGACATTTTCAAGAGGAAACTAGATTTATTCCTCCAAGGAGTGCCGGACCAACCGGGCTGTGGTGGGTATGTGGGCCTGCGGGCCGCTACAAGCAACAGCCTGGTGGACCAAACTCTCACAAGTCAAGCCTGGCCTCGGGCCGAGCTTGGGGAGTAGAAGAACTCCCAGAACCCCATCAACCAGGTAACCAGGTAAAGATAAATATAGAACAGGAACCTAAAATAGCACTGATTGTGTAATAATAATTCTGAATCCCACACCCAAAAATGTTCTACCCATTGAAGCTTAAAATTTTTCCAATCAGTCTGGATATCAATTTGCTAGCAGTTATGATCAGTGCACAAAGAAGATGGAGAATCATAATTAGATTTTTTCGATATCGCACCAAGGTATGTCATTTTCAGAGTCCTCTGGCTGAACTAGGAATTCAGATCCCAACCTAAATAAAAGTTATTCTTGTACAAAAAATCTACTCTATCCAATGGTGTCAATCAAAACCAAATTGGGAATGATGCATATTTTGATATTTTGCCTTGAAAGTTGGCTAGTTTTGCAGAAATTTTTTTTTTGGCCAACTTTCAAGTGGGCCACCTCTGGACATATGGATACAACAGAGTTGCTATTGCATCACTATATAATATTGTGCTTGTTATACATTGTTGCAAAAGATCATGGCGTTTAGACCTTTTGCTGATGAGTAAGTGGTCTCCAAATTGGGGGTCCAAATTTCTTAACAAAATTTGGCAGTGATTTTAGCATGGACTGGTAGCTGAATGGCTACCCAAACTACTTTTTTGATAACACTGCTGTATTCCACACCAAAAGTTGTCCTGGTATGCCAAATTTCACACCTCTGGGCACTAGACATGATTTGATAAAGGGTCAAAGTTGGCCTTTTTTACGATGTGTACGCATTAACAGGATGAGAGCCCATTGAACATGGACCTATTATTTAAGAACCAAAGCAGATTGAGCTATAATATTTTGCACAATTTCATTTGGGGTCTAGGTCTACTTTAATACAAAATTTTATTAGATTTAGAAAGTGTCGAGTGAGAGGCCTTTGGTGAATTCACATGGAATGACCCCCACTGCGGAGGTAGTCCCAGAATAACCTATGGAAGATAGCCCTAAACTGCAAGGATAGCACTTACAGGGCACCTAGGGAAGATGACCCTAGGCACATACAGCCCCAGTACTTCTGGAATTACTCCTGGCTCTCACACCACAAGGTACAGCACTGCTCAAGGAGTGGGGCCAGAGTCGATCGACCTCTACTCAACACCACAACCTCAGAACTGGGGTTGGGTAGCTGGCATGGTAGATCTGGGGCTCCCTTTCTCCCCTCCCGGGGAGGGGGAAGCTGCGCGAACAGCAGCGCAGCAGCTGTGGTAACGTCATGCTTGTTTGCTTGTTTTCTGATTGGGGAGTTCTGCTTGCTACTTTGGCTTTTGGTTTGCAATTTTTAACCAGCTGTAGTTTGTTTTAGGATTCCTACCTTTCTAGGTGCCTGACCTGGTAGACGGCAGACAAACTGCTTCCAACCACATATGGATGTCTAACGGCCATTGCTCCTTGTGGCTCTCTGAGGGGGCCAGGTTCTGGCTCGTGGTCCCCGGTAGGCCTAGAACTCCATCGATTGACTGTGTCCACGGTCTAATATATATTCACATCAACCCAGTATAGCTCCAGAGAGCCGGAGGGGCTCTCCACAGAAAAGTTATGCAGTATTCATATTTTTTTTTTTTACCAGTACAAAACATCCATGCAAAAGACGGATGCGTCTGATGTGAGGGTGCATAAATCACGCCTGCAAACACGATAAAACGAATTCAAAAAGGGAAGGAGGGGACAAAAACCCTTTCCATGAAACAACAATCTCTGCCCAGAAGGCACAAATGCCCAAGCAGGGGCAAAAGTAGCCCAAGCGTTCCAAGCAGACTACCCCAAAGCCCCGGAAACAACTGACACAAGCCCCCGGGGCAAAGCCCCCTCTTCCACGTCCACCACCCTTCAAGAAAAGGCAACATCCAGGGAAAAAGCTTTCAAGAAGAGAGTCTGCTGGGTTGACCCAGAAGACTCGGCAGGAAAATTGGGCTCAACCACCTCACCGCCCGAATCAGAAGGGCATGGAGGAGGTTGCTTAAACTGTATGAATGTATTGTATATTATATGGCATGGTATTATTGCAGGACATAACTGTACTGTAATTATTTGATCAATAAAGCCACAAGTCTGGCAAGGCATTTGATTATCTAACTAGCCAACAGGGATCACACTGTTCAGTCCTTCCAGAAAACTAATGTTGGAAGACTTCCATCCCAAATCCATCCAGACCTGTCATCTGGACAAGATTCTTGTATCATTAATCTTCTATAATTGGAAATTTCCTTGAGTATTTTTTGTTAGGGTAAAATATATGACATACATATTCATATAGTCATCATATTTTTTAAATCCCTGCACTGCACACCTGTTTCATGTGGCAACTTCATGGTACAGGGGGTTAATAATGAATGATATACATTAATTGAAATCATATAAAAATATGAAACTATCAAAATGAAAACTATCAGTGAAAATTTTAAAAACATTAAAATACTGATAAATTCAATATTTTTTCCACCTCCCATCAAGCATCTTAAGGCACTATGTGGACCTCAGAGGTTAAACCCTTAAGAATGTGACATACCATTATAATTTTTGGGAAACACCTCTGCAGCAGGCATGGGAGACTCCACAATTAAAGAACTGACAGATAAAGGATTTGAGGGTGTGCCTAGTAATAGAAAAAAATAAATGGTATGTTATTATCACTAGTTATTAACTATCACATTTAATAATAAGAATAATAATAATAATAATAATAATAATAATAACAATAATAACAACAATAATAATAATAATAGAAGTAGTAGTAATAATACTGTAATTCATTGTATCGGGGGACAGACAGCCAGTGTGTTTACACGCGTTAGGTCCCCCTTACCGAGGTCAAATTACAGACCTACCAGGATGCAACTCCACAACAAGCTGACTAACTCCTGGGTACCTACTTACTGCTAGGTGAATAGGTACATTAGGTGATAGGAAATGCTCCCAACCATTTCTGTCCCATCCGGGATTCAAACAAAAAATTCTCAATTGTGAGTCGAGAATGAACAATCACATTTAAACATAGCCCTTAATAATATTATTGAAATGTCATTCAATTAGTCAAGTGACATATATCTTGCCATTACCTTTAGCTCTGCTTTTCCGACCACTTGAACTGCCACTGTATTGCAACACCGCCGTTCGCGGCTTTTTCCCTTTGTTGCAGGCGTCGTACGAGGCCTGCAGCTTTGCTATCTCCTCTTCAAACTGTTTCATTTTCTGTTTGTATTGTAACTCTTGTAGACTTTTATAGAAGTCATCTGAAGAGAGATACAGAATAACATGTACTGTACATAGAATGTTAATGAAAATAAATATGCCAATAGAGTGAATGCTGCACTTTAAATGCAGAAAAGACAGGAAAAAATTGCTCGTTTGCAAATATTGGTGAGCGAGTTGGAAAGATTTCAATAATGTGAAAGGCTACTCTGTGCTAATAGGCTATAAGAGGAAACTTTGTCTTAAGTATATTTATTATAAAATATGATTTGCTTTAATAAATCATGATTAATTAATCAATTATATCAATAATATTAATTTTCAAGATTTTGTATAAAAAATATATAATTGAGCCTACCGGGCAAACCAGAACGATTATCAGGATCATTAGTTTCTTCGTGATTATTTTTTTCTCGTCTCTTCCTTTTTGTCGGCTGATATATCGGTGCAATATCTTCCTGTTGAATACTGTGTGCTGAAAAATATAATACAGTAAAATTTTTAAAATATTATACAGTACAAATACAGTAAAATTTCCCCATAAGAAATAATGGGAAGTGAATTTCCATTCCTGACTCCCCAAAAAATTCATTTCAAACAAATTTTATACTTAATTCACCCAAATCTTCACTACAAAAGTATGTACAAGTTATTACTTACCTTTACTGATGACTCCTGTTGGCATATGGAAGACGGTGAGGAGGGGGAAGGAGGAGAGGTGTTACTGTTTGGAAGGGGAGTCCCCTTCCATTATAACATCAGGCAGTGAGGACTTCTCTGGGGTACACACTCTAGCACGTTTTGCCTGCATACCACTAGGACCTGCATCTGGCTCACTGCATGATTCTCTCATGGTCTTTCTTGAAGATAGTTTTTCCCTTTTTTGCAACACTTGTCTGTAGTGAGACATCACATTGTCATTAATAAGATCAATGCAACGGCCTACTAAAGCTCCATCTGGGTGATTCTTTTCAGCAAAACTTTGCAGTTCTTCCCATACTGCACACATTTTCTTAATTAATGAAGAAGGGACATCCTCTACTGCCTCCTCCTCCTCCCCTGAAGATTTGTTATACTGCCTAGCTAGTTTAACAACACGTGTACCAATTTTCATGTTTATGAATGATCTCTTGTTTTTCCTCTAAGGTCATTCTCACATGTGTTTTCTTGCCTTGAACCTTACTACTGCCTTTCTTGGGACCCATGGCGAGATATATAACAACAACTTTTATGTTCAAACAGCAAAAAAATCCAAAAAAAGAAACTGTAAATCCTTGCAAAGAATTCAGGTGGGATAGTCACTAGGCGGGAGGCACTGGGAAACTGAGGCATGATCGCCGTGTCACCATGCGCTAGGTCGGCCATATGTGTATCGACAAACTCGTATCCCGAGGTAAAGTTCGTAACCAGATTCAAATATTCCGAAGAAATCGGGCTCGTAACCCAAAAAGTTTGTAAAGAGGGGCATTCGTAAACCGAGCTACCACTGTACAGTACTTCTAAAAGTTTTAACACTTTCGCGCTTTAGATTAGAGATAACTCGTCGCCGTTTTCTCTTACGATTCCGCATAACAGCCGAGTTTTCTCGTCCATCGAAAAAATATTTCTATAAATTCCATTTTTTAACCGAAATGGATGGGGATACTTTTGTTTTGTAGGGAATTTATTTGTGAATGTTTTGGTACCAGAATGAATATTATATCACATAAACTTCTATGAGTAAAAAAAAAAATACACAAAGTATGTTTGGGGGTGTGGCGAGCGTGTGGCAGTGGGTTCCCTTTAGCCGTTGATATATCCAACACGTGGGAAATATTTGTGTGTGTTATGTATATGTCTGTGTAGGGAATTTTTCTGCGATCACTGTCATACAAATTATAAAATGTTTCAACAAGTATAAACATGACAAACATCAAACGAACGAAAACAATGCGTTCGTTTCTGCCGCGAACGCATACTGAGCGACGTGGTTCTATATTTGGCGCTTCTCTTACACATGCTTTGTACAAATGTTATACAGTTCATCTTATATAAAATTTTATTGCGAACACATTGGTATAAAAAAGAAATACGTACATAGAAAAGTAGGGGTCAGGAAACGTATAAACTTTCCAAGCATGATTTCCCCCGTGTTTTCGCCAGTGCGCTCGCGGCTAACTACTCTCCACTTCACACACTCTTGCGGGTGGGCAATTACCTATATTAAACATTCATATGCATATGTCCGTGTAGAGAATTTTATTGCGATTCCAATGATACCAAAATTAGCGATGTAGGACAACTGTAGGCTTCGCAACCATTAAGAGAGTGGAAACATTTTGTTGCTGTTTGGCGCTCTCGGCGAGTGATCTGCATAGTTTTTTATTTGGTGTTGATACTCCTTATGCTTGGGCGGCATTTTATAGGTATGCTCTTATAGACAATTTCATTGCGAACACAGTGATACCAAATTTAAATACGTGCGCCTTCAATTATTGTCAGGACAGTCAAAAGAGTGTACACTTTTCGGTCTTACCGCGTAGGCGCGCGAAGTGCCGAAAGCATCTGGGGTATTGTTTTTTTTGAGCGCCGAGAGCGCGAAAGTGTTAACATTTATGCTTAAAACATTCGTAATGTATTCCTCAGGGCAGTGATTCTCAACATTTTCCAACATAGTAGCCACTTTATTAAGGCTTCACAGTCCAGCACTTGCAACACTAATACAAGGATAAAGTGTAGTACAGCATTTCCTTTACCACATGAAATTGATTTCAGCACCCCCAGACTAAGAAATGCTGCATAAGGGTAAAGGTTGCATCATTCATGACAGTTTGCAAATGGATACTAACTCCTAACGTGCTGTAATGAGTTGAAACGGAGAACACTAATGTGAATACTTCTCAACACTAAATACAATGCGTTGACAAATGAATACAGTATTTGAACACTGGTGTTGACGGACGGACGGCCTGACTGACGGCCTGACTGACTGACTGCACTGACTGACTGCACTGACTGACTGCACTGACTGACTGCACTGACTGACTGCACTGACTGACTGACTGCACTGACTGACTGACTGCACTGACTGACTGACTGCACTGACTGACTGACTGCACTGACTGACTGACTGCACTGACTGACTGACTGCACTGACTGACTGACTGCACTGACTGACTGACTGCACTGACTGACTGACTGCACTGACTGACTGCACTGACTGACTGACTGACTGACTGACTGACTGACTGACTGACTGACTGACTGACTGACTGACTGACTGACAGGACTGACTGACTGACTGACAGACTGACTGACAGGACTGACTGACTGACTGACTGACTGACTGACTGACTGACTGACTGACTGACTGACTGACTGACTGACTGACTGACTGACTGACTGACTGACTGACTGACTGACTGACTGACTGACTGACTGACTGACTGACTGACTGACTGACTGACTGACTGACTGACTGACTGACTGACTGACTGACTGACTGACTGACTGACTGACTGACTGACTGACTGACTGACTGACTGACTGACTGACTGACTGACTGACTGACTGACTGACTGACTGACTGACTGACTGACTGACTGACTGACTGACTGACTGACTGACTGACTGACTGACTGACTGACTGACTGACTGACTGACTGACTGACTGACTGACTGACTGACTGACTGACTGACTGACTGACTGACTGACTGACTGACTGACTGACTGACTGACTGACTGACTGACTGACTGACTGACTGACTGACTGACTGACTGACTGACTGACTGACTGACTGACTGACTGACTGACTGACTGACTGACTGACTGACTGACTGACTGACTGACTGACTGACTGACTGACTGACTGACTGACTGACTGACTGACTGACTGACTGACTGACTGACTGACTGACTGACTGACTGACTGACTGACTGACTGACTGACTGACTGACTGACTGACTGACTGACTGACTGACTGACTGACTGACTGACTGACTGACTGACTGACTGACTGACTGACTGACTGACTGACTGACTGACTGACTGACTGACTGACTGACTGACTGACTGACTGACTGACTGACTGACTGACTGACTGACTGACTGACTGACTGACTGACTGACTGACTGACTGACTGACTGACTGACTGACTGACTGACTGACTGACTGACTGACTGACTGACTGACTGACTGACTGACAGAACTGACTGACTGACAGACAGAACTGACTGACTGACTGACAGAACTGACTGACTGACTGACAGAACTGACTGACTGACTGACAGAACTGACTGACTGACAGAACTGACTGACTGACAGAACTGACTGACTGACAGAACTGACTGACTGACAGGACTGACTGACTGACAGGACTGACTGACAGGACTGACTGACAGGACTGACTGACAGGACTGACTGACAGGACTGACTGACAGGACTGACTGACAGGACTGACCGACTGACTCTCTCTCTCTGTTTCTGTGTAATTACCTAAGTGTTACCTAAGTGTAGTTACAGGATGGGAGCTACGCTTGTGGTGCAAGCGTAGCTCCCAGCTACCCGTCTACCCAGCACTCTTTGTCATATAACGCTTTGAAGCTACTGACGGTTTTGGCCTCAACCACCTTGTCACTTAACTTGTTCCAACAGTCTACCACTTTGTTTGCGAAAGAGAATTTTCTTGTATTTCTTCATCATCTTTGTTTAGTTAGTTTCAATCTATGACCTCTTGTTCTTGAAGTTCCGGGTCTCGGGAAATCTTCCCTATCGATTTTATCAATTCCTGTTACTATTTTGTACATAGTGATCATGTCACCTCTTTTCTTCTGTCTTCTAGTTTTGGCATATTTAACCCCTTAACTGCGTTGCCTCCAAATATGACACGCATAGTGCGCAGAAAATAAATTCTCTGGAAAAAATTCTTTTGATTTTTTAAAGTGTCAAAAACCCTTCCCTCAGTATGGGAATGTAAAAAAAAATTGAAATTGTACTTACTTTGGCTGCTATGTGGTCCGTAAGTTGGCACGTGACGTCATCATTCCCCATTCGCCTGTGACGTACACTCCCGGGGCCAGTAGGGCACCTGGGGCGGGGCGCATGAGTTGCCGTGAATATATTTTTGTTCATTTTTTGTGCACAGTTCCAAATACATTTTATTTGTTTTTACGTGCTAATCCTATGTATAATGAACACGTTCACTATATTATGGCAGTAAAACATCCATATTGTCCAAAGACACTGTGTTACGTGCATGACACTTATGTACACATATGCTGCACTTATTTACTATGTATCATGCTAATTTATGTATATATACAATCTATTTACGCACTATACACTGTCACACACTATATACATTCACCATCAACACACTCAGAACACCTCGAGTGAGAGATGCCACACCCAGCCAGTCTCCCTCGCTCCAACATCTTACTCGCCAACATTGCTCCTCCCACCATTCTGTTATTGTTCTTATTACACATGTTATA